CGCCGACGGATCATCACTCTCAGGCTGGGATGGACGCGGGGCGGGTGGGCCCTGGCGCGCGGAGCCGGGAGTCCGGGCCTCCCGGCTGCTGAGCGTCCCCCGAAGCCTCCCCCTTACGCCCCTTTGCCTCCTAGGAGCAGTACTGCCCCCCGCCCCGGGGTTCCAGGCTCCACTCCCGCCTTCCTCTGATTCCCCGGACCTCCCACTCCCGCCCGCCCTCGGGATCGACTAGATCCCTCCCTCTCCCCGAGGATTCCGGCTGGATCCCTGCCCCTGCACCGCGGATCCTGCGCTCCCGGGCTTCGGGCCCCTGGGGATTGCCGTGGACTCCTCCTCCCGCACCCGATTCCTTAGGATCCTCCGCCTGTACCGCCTTCTGGTCCCTGGAAGCCGGCCCACGGAGCCAGTGGATCCTCAATCCAGTCTTGTCCCGTTGCCCCCTCCTCACTCCTCTGTCCCCACTGCGCGGTTCCCTGTTCTCGGGTTCCTCCTGACCCCATCCCCTACCTCTCCCCGGGGAGCGACTGGATCCCGGCCCCGCCCCCTGGGGCTGGGGCGATCCCCCTCCCCCGCTGGGTGAGGCGCTGCGGGAGGGGGCTGGGCCTGCGGGACCGCGGGGGCTCAAAGGCCGCCGCCCCCTACTCGGAGCCCTGGATGGAGGCACCACGGCCCCAGGGCTGAGCCAGGTAGGAGCTAAGCCGGGCCGGGTGGAGGGGACTGCGTGGCGGTCCACTGGGGTCTCCCACTCCCCATCTCTTTCTGCGCCTGGTTTCCCCCAGCCTGCCCTGTCTGCTCGTCTCCGCCTAGGGATGCTCTTGCCGTGTCTCTCTGTCTCGGTCTCTTTGTCTCTGCCTCTCTCCAGCCCATGAATGATCCTTTGAATGGGCCCACAGACCCCGTGTGTTCCCATCTCCCCTCCCCCTCCTTCTCCCCTTCCCGGCCAAGCCATTTTTCCCCACTGCAGGAAGGGGGGGGGGGCTGCGGCCTGAGCCCCCATCCCTCAACTCTTCCCGGCTGGGGGAGTCAGGCCTGGGCAGGAATGGAGAGAGCAAGGCAGAGGGCTAGGGAGGAGGGGGAGCAAGATGTGGCAGACAGAAAGGAGAGAAGGGGAGAGAAAATGGGGGAGACAGAGATGAGGGAGGAGAGCAAGAAATAGAAAAGGCTTGAGGGAGAAATTTGAGGAAGGGATTTGAAGGAGAGAGAAAAATGAGAAACACTAAGGAGGGAGATATAGGCGAGAGTAATGAAAAAAAGACTGAGGGTTAGAGACTGAAGACAAGAGCTGGAGCAGCCTGGAAGAGGCTGGAAAAGGTGCTGTGAGGGAGCGCTATGGAGAGGAAGGAGATGAAGGGGCTCCAGGGGGAGGAAAGAAGGGAGAGAGCCTGGCAGAGAAGGCCAGGGGCCCAAAGTACCTTAAGGGAGGAGGGGCAACAGAGGCAGAGAGACTGAGTTAGTAGGAGGGGGAGGGGGTGGCAAGGCCAAAGAAGCAGAGCCCAGACTGGTGTGGGCAGAGGAGATCCTGAGGGAGCCAGCCCCAAGCCCCCTCTAGGTGGTGGGGGACAGGAGCTTTAGAGGGCCTGAAGAAGGGGAGGGCATGGCTGGGCGTGTGGGGTAAGGAGTCCCGTGTCCTCATCTCTGGAATAAATTGACACCTGCAGAGAGCCACCCGCGGGCTGGCGCCTGGCTCTGAAAACCCCGCGTCAGCAAACAGCTCTGGCAGCT